CTCCTACAGAAGTGATAGTCTATATCACTCAGTTCAGAGTCTTCTGAAAAAGTTCAGTACAATCAATATTAAACCTGCCCCCCTAGACAAAACGCACTTTTTGATCGAATCGAAAATCGAATCCGTCAAAACTCCATACAAAAAAGGGGCTTTTCCACCACTTTGCGACTGGTTTGCGATTATAATTTGCACTTTGTCTAGACCCACTGTACCATAGAATTTGCAGTCATTGAAGTTTCTAGTGCTCAATTCAAAGACTTATAATATGTTTTTACCAAGTCACGCACTAGTAATAATGATTCGCTCTTTCTATGAACACACAATCAATACAATACCGGATCAGTTATCTTATTACTTACATTATTACAATCACAGATCAATAAATAACTATACATCAATTGACCTTAATATTATGCATACCGCCAAAAATGCGAGTCATTTTTAATCTATGGCAAGCGGAAGCGCGCCAAAATCACCTCTGCGTTCCGTTACACAATTTTGTTGCGTAATAAGTAATTCTGCGTGTCATCTCAATACGAAACAGTAAAACGGAACGGGAAATAAGTCGGACATTGGGTTACGTGGGGTCATAAATTATGATTCTGGGTTAATGACTATGAGAACGCTATAAATGCCAAGTATCATAATAATATGTAGGTAACATCATCATGGATTTACATAAAATATTTATGCCAATTGGTATAAAGCTATAAAAAATACTCTCGATTTTAAGAACTTGAAAACTTCTTTCTGAAAAGCATTATTTTCGTAAAATTTTAAAAAAGTTTTTAAAGACTTTTTGGGAACTCCAAATCTGTTGATTTGGGACGTGTGTGTGCCCTGAAAAGGGCAACTACATACTAATAAAGAATTGAATTTGAAAGTACATTATTTAAATTAAAATATGAAGTAGGTAGGTAAATAAATTGTACCTATTGTACATTGTCAATTGGCATTGGTATAACTTAAACTTTCTACTATATTTCCATACAAATACGAAATAGCGGATATTACATTTATTATACTTATACATAATAATATATGCTTGTAGTTTGTAATAGATAACTGTAATAAAAGTATTTAATTATGAGTTACTTTGTTATGTTATTTAATATAAATAATTTTAACTATACTTTAATGCTTGCAACAACCAAGATTTATTTATTCATAATAAACATAATGGTTCAGAAATGAGGAGATCCGCAGGAAAACCTAAGTGACCGACATAGCTCGCAGAATTGCTAAAATCAAGTGGCAGTGGGCGGGGCACATAGCTCGTAGAGACGATGGCCGTTGGGGCAGAAGAGTTCTCGTGTGGCGACCACGGGCTGGAAGACGTAGCGTGGGCAGGCTTCCTACTAAGTGGACCGACGATCTGGTAAAGCTCGCGGGAAGATCCTGGATGCGGGCAGCGCAGGACCGTTCATTGTGGAAAACCGTGTGGGAGGCCTATGTCCAGCAGTAGACGTCACATTATCTTGGTTACAGAATCATGACCGTAACATTGTGACACGGAAGATTAATGTAACACAGTATATCTTAGATCTTATTGTGTGTAACACAATACGGACATAATTGCTTTGTCATTTCCTAGTCACTAATACAGACTAATAAGGTAGATTATTTTTTGTTATGGTTGAGGCTTGGCGAATTCATATTAATAAGATAGGGCAAAAAGTTTAATCATTAGACAGGTAACTAACCATAATACTTGGTATGACACTGAGATAAATTAGTCGCTTTTTCGTTTGCCAGGCGATTTGGGCTAGTTCAGTGATTCGTCCCACAACAGGTTCGTCCCACTGGGACGAAACACTGAATTCAAAAAAAATATATATTTTTCGTTCTGGATTCGTCCCATTTAATTTAATCTTTAACATAATGAGATTGAGTACCGTCAGAAAGTGGGAGGAATCACTGAACTAGCCGCGATTTGTTTCACATTTGTAGAAAAATAACTCGTTATTTATAAGAAAAACAACTGAAATAACTTGAAATAATAGAGATACCATTATATTTTTAAGGCTGGATTGCACCATCTTACTATAGCAGTAACTATAACAATAACCAGTGTTTTTGTTTGGAATTTGACCGTTTTTTGACGTTTGTTAAAGTCAAAGTAAGATGGTGTGACTCAGCCAAGTTAACAGCCTATATCTACGCAAGTGCAGAAAAAATAGCATATCAATATATCGATATCAGACGTATATTTACTAACCTGAATATTATTACAGACAATAAAAAACAATATAACTATAAATAAATAAATAGCAGCTACAGCTGCTAGCTGTTATCTCAACTGAAACAAAGACAATATTTTATTCTATAAATACTTACGTTGTATGCTTTTTCTTTACATTAAGTAGGTATATTTTATTATATTGTTCTAAGAAAACCTGAAAAACATGTAAAATAAGAATACATGTCAATTTGTAAGAATGGAGTTTCGAGTATAAAGTTATTCTTTGAATTCAATCAAACTTTAATCAAATTTTGGAAAATTGTTTAAAACAAGTAACCCGGTCATAGGTATAACTTAATTATATTAATAGAATTATCACGTAGCAGATAATGTGTGAATAAAGATATCTTTTTTATAAATCCATGTGAAACAAACTAATTAATTACATATTGTATTTAACGACACGTTGATGTGTGAGATTAACTTCTTTATTACCAAATAATTAAACTAATGAGTTATTTACCTATAAAATAATATGGGTTATAATTTTTGCATCTTGGCTTGTGATATTTGAAAATTGTGATGCACCTATTTCTTCTATAAATCCAAAATTCCTAAAAAAAATGGGAAAACGTGCTTTTTATGGCGCTCTGGTCGATTATAAAACGCTCCATTTTTACTGGTATTGATTAAATAATATGAATTCTTATTACAGCTGCTATATTAGAATAGAATTATAGCGACCAATATAATAACCTCACAAAGCGAACAATAGCAAATACCATTGAATATGAAACAATTTATTTGAACATTAGTAGAGTCGGTCGTGGGATACGTTCACTTTGCAAAGCTAATGCTAATGAAGCTTGACATTGTCATGAATATTTATTATAATATGTAGTTATTTATTTATATTACGTGTAATTTAAAAAGGTACTTAAAAACCTTGAAATACCAGAGACAAAGAGTTCAATATTTTTTTCTTTATTGATTTCACGGGTTTATGATCTAACGTATTTAAAGTAGGTAATTATTACATAATTAGCATAAACCGTGTGGTGATGGCAGAGTAGAATACATTTGTCACCAACCAAGTTTGTGTCGTAAGAGGCGACTTAGGGACTACACATCAAACAGAGGACGTGCAGCAGCGCTCTCTGAAAAACATCAATCTTTTAAACTGCGATCTCCAACCCGCCTGCCAAGCGTGGAGATTATGGCAAAACCCTCCACTATAGTGGAGGAGGCTCATAGTCCAGTAGTGGACTGTAAAGGGCTGTTGATGATGAATTACATAATTATTATTCTACATAATCAACTGGAGTCCTTAAGTAGTTACTACTATTGATGGATGGATAGGTTCTATTGTTCGATACTTCGAACTAAACCCATGATACTCACAATCACTAAAAATCACTTGCAAATTGAAAATTTGGTATACACTCCCCACACTGGCCAGACGGGTTGGGAAGGCTTGATGTTCGCATATTTGTCCCTTAGTCGCCTCCTACGACATCAGGAAAATTGGGGTAGGCTCTATTTTTTTTCTGTCCCATTTGTACCCAAATTGGCAGAACTAAAAAATAGTCAGAAAAAGTTAAATCAACCTTTTCCTGTAACAACCTTCATTGGTATTTCTCAAAAATTCTATCCTCCTTTCACAAATACGATTCTGCGAAAAAATCTTTGTCTTCCTGATCGGTCATTGTGGTGACGATGTGTTCTTAAAAATTGGACTGGGGTTTCCCTTACTATTAACATGTAATGAAGGTCTATGAGTAACCAGTTGAGAAGTTTATCCTTTAATAAATTATTTTCTGTTAATGTGAACGTTCATTGTGGAAAACCTTGGGGGAGGCCTTTGTCCAGCAGTGGACGTGATTTGGCTGAAACGAACGAACGAACGAATGTGAACTATGTATTTGATAATGTAGAGCTTTGTTGGGCACGATATTTATTTGTGTTTGTGTTTCAAATGTATAAAAACCAAAACAAATAAAACAGAGCGCCCGGAGGCCGGAACCAAGTGCAAGGGGGTCTATTTACACCAAAATCGAAATCAATTTATCATTTATTTGCTTTAAATATGGTACAAAAGATTAAATACTCCAATTTTTGTAAAAAATACATTAGATTTTATATAAAAAGTCTTGTAGACTTTTTTGTGATTTAAATTGCTTTAGAAAATATAGAAAACCACTGCAACTTTTACATTCCCAGATTGCAGCATTGCACCCCGCTGAAAATCTTACCTGCTGATAATTTTTAAATCTATAAACATTGAATACATTGTAGCGTAGCCACAGAATAAGTAATAGTACAGGTACAGAAGGATTACTCCGCAAGAGGATTTAAATAAATGCGAGTCTTGCTACGACGCGATACAGTGGAATTCAGCTCGCACAGCACTACGTACCTACAATTTTATTCACCTACAAGTTTTGTCTCTTTCTATCGCGTGCCTCTGAACTCTTCTTACGCTGTTAGGGTTGCTATGCTGTCTAGTGAAAAAATAGAATTAATATCTACTTAGGTATTTGTAATGAGGTACGTATGTAGGTAAGTATTAGTGTTATTTTACCTTTGTTAAAATAACATTTTAAATATACCTACTTAGGATAAAAAAGTACTTATTTTGTCTTCATTCATACCTATTTTAACATAAGACAAATAAATTAAACATACCTACTATCAGAGAAGAAAGAATGACATCATATACCTACCTACTTACTACGCAAACACGAAACGGCTACATCCTAGAACAAGAGGCGTCACCGGAAAATCATATTTGTATTTGGCTNAATATTAATTATCCTGCCTTCGTCTCTGAGATTTACCACCATGTAGTTTACCCTGTAAACGCCTAACAACTCGCACAAGTATTCAGCGTCATAGAAAGAAAAAAAAGACTTCTGTCTCTTTCTCTCTCTACGACGCGGCCCGTCCCGACGAGTGTCTTCATTTGTTGCCCGTGCGCTCACGGCGTTCGCACGTAGTATTCTCGGAGACCGATAATACAATTAACCTACCCGTTTTTTTTTTCATATACATTTATCGATCTAATAAGTGCGATCTTGTACTTAGTTTTTTTTGCACTATGCCTAAACGCAAGTATGAAGGTGAAAGTAAAGAGGATCGTTATGCAAGAAAATTACGAAAGTATGAAGAAAAATTAAAGGAACGACGACGTAAAAATCGGCCACGAATACTTTATTCAAGTGACGAGGACCTAAACGGTGAAGGTTAGTCAGTGTTTTTATTTTTCAATCTAAGTGTCTATGAATGCTGCTATTTCTTTGCCTCGAACCAATGCGGGATATTGGTCAATGGCTATTAAAGGCTTGCACCAAGCCGAATGCTGCTAATTTTTTCTGCCTAGAATCAATGCGAGATGTTGGTCAATGGCTGTTATAAGCATACATACGTACAAAAATCATAATGCTGCTATTTTTTGCCTCGAATCAATACGAGATATTGGTCAACGGCTATTTTATGCTCCGAGTTAATACGGGATATTAACCAGTAGCCACTTATTGCATATTTTTTATGCCCATCATGTCTGGCAATACTTTTACCCTCAATCACAATTTACGGTCACTTTCAGATGACCGGGAAATCTCAATACCGCCACCGGAGGAGTCGGAAATATTTCCGGAATGTTCATTACAAGGCGAAAATACTTCCCAGGCTGGTGAACCTGTGGTCAACGCAGCTGAAAACACAACCTCTACTACCAGAGCTGAGGGCACCGATGTAGTTCCAGTATGTGACATAGAACCGGAATTGCTAAAGGCTTTAGGGGACTTTGAACCGGAGACCGTTGAGTGGGGCGATAATGTACAGGAGGATATTGCTAAACGTTTCCAACATTTGTTATCACATGGCCTACAAAAAGAAGCCAAAGAACAACTTACAAAGAAATATTTATTTGCAAAAAATATTTCTTTTGCTAAAGCCCCAACTCTAAATCCGGAAATAGCAACCATGCTCACAGAGTCCTTCCGGAATAGAGATAAACGTATGTTAAATAAACAAGAACAGCTTGGTCGTGCCTTATCTTCTTTAAGTGCTGCAATGACGGCTTTATTGAAGAAGAATCCAGATCTATCCGAGGTCATGAGTATTTTAAATGACACCGGCAAACTGCTCGCTGACTCCCATTTTACCGAAACAGAAAGCCGCCGCGCCATGATAGGCCCGTTGGTTGATAAATCATTCATGGAATTGTTCAAAGATAGAAAACGAGACACTATGTTATTTGGGGAAAAACTAGGTGACCTCGTTAAAAATTCCCGCGGCATTAGCCGGACCGGCCAATACATACAATCAACTGTTTCTAATATGAGTGGGTCCAATTTAAACGGAAGAGGCCAACCGCTGCGAAGTCGACCTCCTCAACGAGCGACACCGAACTATCAGTATCGGACCGGAGGACAACGCAACCAATATGCGACCCGTCGACGAGCACCAGTGCCGGCGCACACCAATGCCCGCCGCCAGGCCGCTGCCCCGCCGCCGCCAGCGCGCCGCCAGCCTCCGTCTGCGACGCGCCCTCCACCTCCGACCTCCGGCCGCACGAACACCTAAATTCTCCACCTCAGGTATACGCCGCCGGGCGGTTGCAACATTTTTTACCTGCCTGGAAATCTTTTACTACTGATGAATTTATATTAGACACAATATCGGGATACCGCATTCCTTTTACAAAATATCCGGAACAGTCTGAGAATCAATATCCCAAACGTTCATTTTCAAAATCTGAGACGTTAGCACTAAATAAAGAAATTAAACATTTATTAAATATTAAAGCTATTAGGAAAGATCAGTTTATCTCAGACATATTTTTGATACCCAAGTCGGATGGAGATTTAAGGTTCATTTTAAATCTTAAAAAATTAAATAAATATGTTCATTCTGACCATTTTAAAATGGAAGACATTCGAACCGCGACACGTCTTTTAACAAAAGACTGTCATATGATAAATATTGATTTAAAAGATGCCTATTTCTTGTTATCTATACATGAAGATCATACTAAATATTTACGTTTTTATTTCGATGATCTATATGAGTTTACTGTTCTACCGTTTGGTCTTTGTTCTGCACCGTACATTTTTACAAAAATACTTCAACCTATTGCAACTTATTTGAGATCAAAAGGTTTTATTTCGGTGCGGTATCTCGACGATATCCTCTGCATTGCTCAAGGATACAATGAATGTGTTACTAATCGAGATGAAACCATTAACTGCTTAACAAAATTAGGATTTGTGATTAATTACAAAAAGAGCAATTTGATTCCTACTAGTTTATGTACCTATCTTGGTTTTGTTCTCAATTCAAAGTCAATGACTATTGAACTGCCTGACCAAAAACGTAAAAAAATATTACAGAAAATACAAATGGTCCTAGATTGCATTTCTCAGCGCAAAGACATCCAAATCCGCGATTTCGCTCGTCTTTTGGGTACGCTGACTGCGGCATGCCCAGCGGTCATGTATGGATGGCTTTATACTAAAAGTCTAGAGAGGGCTAAATATTTGGCTTTATTGCATAATAATGATAATTTTGATATGGCTATGACAATTCCAAACAATTTATGTAAAGATCTGTTATGGTGGAAAAATAGAATTATGAATATTTGCAATCCAATTCGAGAAAGTAAGTTCGAACTCGAAATCTTTACGGATTCCTCCTCGACCGGTTGGGGAGCCGCTTGCGGCTACGAGAAAACGGGAGGGCCGTGGACTGAACAAGAACGATCTAATCACATAAATTATTTGGAATTGTTGGCAGTATACTATGCTTTAAGATCGTTTGCTAAATTTAGAAATAATTGTGAGATACTGCTGCGTGTCGATAACACAACAGCAATTTCATATTTGAATAGAATGGGAGGTGTGCAATACCCTCACCTGAATCATATTACACAACTAATATGGCGTTGGTGCGAAAAACGAAATATTTTCATTTTCGCATCCTACATCAAATCACGTGAAAATATTGATGCAGACAGTGAATCCAGAAAAATTAATATTGATACAGAGTGGGAGTTAAATTCTAGATTGTTTTCAAAAATTGTGACACATTTTGACTATCCTGAAATTGATCTGTTTGCCTCACGCATAAATGCTAAATGCGACAAATATGTGTCTTGGAAAAGAGATCCGTATGCCTATGATATAGATGCTTTCACGATAGATTGGAACAGTTTTTATTTTTACGCATTCCCACCATTCGCGCTTGTTTTAAAAGTATTAAAAAAGATCATTGCCGATCAAGCTACTGGCATCGTAGTTGTACCAAGCTGGCAGTCTCAACCTTGGTACCCGCTATTTAAATCTCTTTGTGTTGGTGAGACAATAATATTCCCTCCTGAGAAATTTCTTCTTTCCTCTTCTTTCAGACAATTTCACCCGCTACACCGCCATCTTTCCCTGGAAGCGAGCGTGTTATGCGGGAGGGCTTCATAAAACAAGGTGTCCCTGAGTCTGCAGTAGAAGTAATGCTTTCATCTATTTCTGAAAACACGAAATCACAGTACTCTTCTAGTTTAAAACAATGGTGGGAATACACTAAAAATAAAAAATGTGATTTTTATGATGTAAGTTTAGAATCTCTTTTAGATTTTCTCACAGAATGTATGAAGTCTGGTTCCTCCTATGGAACCCTTAATAATCACCGTTCAGCTATATCATTAATTTCCTCCAATAAGATCGGACAAAATGATACAATCAAGAGATTTTTCAAAGGTGTGTTTAAATTGAGACCTAGTTTTCCACGTTATAATTTTACTTGGAATCCTAATGTTGTATTAAATTATGTTGAAACTTTGTTTCCTAATGAATCAATAAGTTTACAAGACTTAACAAAGAAATTAGTTATATTGCTTGCACTGGCCACTGGTCAAAGGATTCAAACAATTTCATTAATTAAAACCAAAAATATTTATACGTTTACTGATAGAATAGTAATTACCATTACAGACTTGATTAAGACTTCAGGTGTTGGACGTCAACAACCTACACTAAATTTGCCTTTTTTCACCCAAAGACCAGCCATTTGCCCGGCTTCTTGTTTACAGACGTACATTAAAACTTCTGAACTCAGAAGGACGAGTAATGTAGCTAACCTGTTGCTTACATATAAAAAGCCTTATTATAGGGCAGCAACTACTCAGACCATCAGGCGCTGGGTAAAGGATATTTTAGAATCCAGTGGCATCGATACCACCATATTCAATGCTCACAGCACCCGACACGCATCCACTTCGGCTGCTTCGCGTGCTGGTGTGAGTTTAGATATCATTCGAAAATGCGCAGGATGGTCGGAGCAGTCTGAAACTTTTGCAAATTTTTACAACCGGCCTGTGCTTGATTGTAATCCTAGTTTGATTAATATTGAGGATGAATAAGTTTGTTTCATTATGTTCTTGTTATGTATTAATATTTTTGTGAAATTATTAAGTCAATAGATTGACCATATTTTCCTACTTTATGCCTTTTAATTTCAACATTAATTTGTATGTTCTCTGAACATCTACATGGTGGTAAATCTCAGAGACGAAGGCAGGATAATTGAATAATCAAACGAACTTACCTGAAGTGAAGTTCGATTCAAATTATCCTGACTTCGTCGAAGAGATTTAAGGTCCCTCCCTGCCCATAATATACATTCCCATGAAAAACTGGTAATTAATGTTTCAATTAAATCTTTCTCTTTCTCTAAAATATGAAGACACTCGTCGGGACGGGCCGCGTCGTAGAGAGAGAAAGAGACAGAAGTCTTTTTTTTCTTTCTATGACGCTGAATACTTGTGCGAGTTGTTAGGCGTTTACAGGGTANCTCTGGTGGCCATAGACGTGGGTCAATTTGAACTTTATGCTGTGAAGATACGAGCGTTAAACACGTGTTTAAATTCATTTCCATACTAAATGTCAATATAAATTGAAACCAGTTGAAGAAAAATTTAACCTAAGGGAGTTTCTAGGTTTACCTACTGGCCCACTACAATTAGTATAAAAGTATTAGGACTTACCAACGCTGCTGTTCGACGCCATAGTCTCAGGTTTTGACATCGCCCGGCCGGGTTATCCAACAGTTACCGATTTTGCTGCACTTACAATCACAACACACAATTCACACCACACACAAAACACAATAACACTTGAACACAGGACTTTACACTGTTTAATTCTCACTAAAACGGGATTTTACACTGTTATTGCGGTTTTTCACACGCACGCGCGCGCCATTGCGAGCCCGACTGGTCGTAATCACAGAACTACCCGCCACTGATCAAATAATTCTACCTGCGTCTCGTAGATCGGATACGAGCAGCGCCCTCTTCGTGGCGTGGTAGCGTACTAATTTTATTTTTTTATGGAGTCTGTGAATTGGTCAAAGTATTGAAATTATACAGCCTAGAATTTTTGCTTGAGTTTTGCATTGTTATTGAATACGGACTATTTTAAATGCGTATTACAGAACGAAACTCAAACTCAATTAAATTTGAAACCTAAGTAGATGATTTGTTCAATTTTAATATTTTGACCAGTCTTAAAATTAATACTTATTTGTAATTCTGATTCTGTACAATTGAGATTGAATCTAGATTTGAGCGTTGTTTTGTAATACGGACTTAACTAAAATCTAATTTAAGAATGTAACTATGTTTTAATTTACTAACTTTATATTTTCAATGTAATAAAATCTTTTCGGCGAGTTTTGCTAGTCCAATAAAATTTAAATTGTTGATTCAAAATTGTTCAAAGTAGTGACAGTAGTGTGTAAGTTTGTATTGTATTTATACCAACAGTAAGGGTAATGTGCAATATTTTACGAGAATTTGAGATACCTGTGAATAAAAGAACGTTTTATAATCTTTTTTGTTGTTTTAATCTACTCCCAAAGATGTTTGTATAGTCCGGTCGCCGAGCACGTAGAATTTCGTCCAATGACCCCGACCGGGCTTTAGTAGAAGTTCATAATAAAGCCAAAGCCGGGTCTCCAGCACGTTTTGCCCTACACAACCGAAACATGTCAACATTCAACAAAATTGTCTACACTAAACATTGTTTCGCTACATACGTGTTTTCCATCTGGCATGGAAAGCAAAAACATTGTTGATGCAAACAAAAATGTGTAGTGAAACAATATTTTTTTAGACAATTTTGTTGAATGTTGATTGTGTAGGGCACAACGCGCGCAAGATCTGACTAAAATGGACCCTAATCATGAGTTTAACGATAAACGTCATCGCTAGCGAGTGCGTCAAAATAATTAACTTTAAAAAAAAATAAAACCGACTTCAAAAAAAAATTAAAAATATTGCGTATAAAAAAGTTCATCCCCAATTTTCCACCCTTGGGGGTNCTGTTAGGGTTGCTATGCTGTCTAGTGAAAAAATAGAATTAATATCTACTTAGGTATTTGTAATGAGGTACGTATGTAGGTAAGTATTAGTGTTATTTTACCTTTGTTAAAATAACATTTTAAATATACCTACTTAGGATAAAAAAGTACTTATTTTGTCTTCATTCATACCTATTTTAACATAAGACAAATAAATTAAACATACCTACTATCAGAGAAGAAAGAATGACATCATATACCTACCTACTTACTACGCAAACACGAAACGGCTACATCCTAGAACAAGAGGCGTCACCGGAAAATCATATTTGTATTTGGCTTTGCACAAACTTAATCTAATGTTACTCGCTGTACTTTGGCAATAATTTATTTTTTACTGAATATTGTTGGGGTACCTATGCATTATGGTAAAAGAACTAGCTTGTCGTAATTTGGTGTATCGATGTTACTCTTCCGTTTCATTTACCTACACGGAAAGGTAATAGTTAATATTTTAACGATAAAATTCTTAAAACATCATAAATTGTATTCAAAAGAAATTATTTATTAAAGGCAAAACATCAAGTCCCGACGGGCGCGCGCGTGACACTCGACTGAGATAATACCCGCCGGCGCGGGGCGCTTCGCTGTAGGTAATTCGGATGTACCGCGCGGAGTGAGCCAGGCCTGGCGTAGCTCAATAAACCACCATAATTAGTACAAATAATAAGCAACTCCTCAACTCAAGCACCTCTAATTTTAGTAATTCCCAACTTTCCCACGACCCACACTCATCAGGTAATCGATTATCGTAATAATCGGTAACCGCACGTCACTCGATTGTCGTTCATTCTGTGATAGTGAAAACACACGTGCGTTTATTAGAGACGCGTCTGCTGCGATTTCAAACTACAAGTAAAACTACGTTTACATTAAGTTTTCACAGCCAGTTCTAATTCTAATTTTGCTCTACATTTTCAGTCAGTTTTTAGTTCTAAGTAAGCACATACATAGATCCTTATTCCATGTATTGAAAAAACTATACATGTATTGAAATAACTTTTTGGAAATTCATAAACACTAATATTACCTACTCGTAAAAATAACATCAGACAACACGTAATTAATATAAATATCTTAGAAGTAAAATAACCAAACTCAAAATAAAATCAGTCCCACTCGTATGTGCAACTGCAACTTGGATATCTAAAGCAGGGCTCGCAGAAAAAGTTGAAAACTTTTATAAATATTAATATTCTTGGACATCTAGTACACAACACCATCTAGTCCCAAAATAAGCAAAACTTGTAGGTACTATGAGTACCAGATATAAACATAGTAAATAGATACGTTTTATTTATATTTATCATAGCGTTTTCTTTCCAAATATCTTGCCGTGTGCTCTTATACTAGTGAGCAAAAACATACCAAACGAAAGTGCAGCGTGTGAACTACTCCGTTCTTCGTTCGCTTTTACGAGACTTTGACCTTGGGTTTAATTGTTAAACGCAAGGTTCAGGTGATAGCGAGTGATAATACTAACAATAAGTATGCCTATAGGTCTAGTGACTGACACTGTCTGAGGTACGTATGGGAGCGGCTGAGGATGTTTTTGTAACGTCAAACGTCAGCGATACTTCAGATCTCCTTCAGTGGGTCTAGACAAAGTGCAAATTATAATCGCAAACCAGTCGAAAAGTGGTCGAAAAGCCCCTTTTTGTATAGAGTTTTGACGGATTCGATTTTTGATTCGATCAAAAAGTGCGTTTTGTCTAGGGGGGCAGATTTGTATGTTCTGTCACGTCATATTATGTCAATGTCACCTCTCCCGCGCCGCTCCCAAACCTCTGGCACTGATTGAGTTAAGCCTTATAGTAGATACCTTGATGCGTTTTAGGGTTCCGAAACTAAATAGAGTTTATAAAACCCTATTAACTCTGGCCATACTCCAGCGGCCATCAGCTCTACAAGCTATGTGCCCTGCCCACTACCACTTGATTTTAGCGATTCTGCGGACTCCGTCAGTCACTCTGGTTCTCCTGCGGATCTCCGCATTTCTGATTCGATCACGCAGGGAAACTCCGAGCATAGCCCGCTCCATCGCCCTTTGGGTGACCTTGAGCCTTCTTATGAGGCCCATAGTAAGCGACCACGTCTCAGATCTGTATACCATCACTGGCAACACACAAACACACACTGGTCAAAGACTAGTCAAGTGTCGTCTAGTGTATTATCCACTAAAAATGAAATTTTAAAAAAGTAAGCCGAATGGATCCTTATTATTCGATTAAAAAAGTTTGGTTTTGTTTCTAAAACCCTGTATGTTTTCTCTAACGTAACGGCAATTACTCAAGAGTCCACGGCACGGACGAACGGACACGGACCGGTTGTGTATACATATACGTATACATACACTGTACGAGAGTGAAAGTATCATGGTCATTGAGCTTATGGTAAAACGGTTCCATTGAAAGTAAGAGTAGCGGAACATCGTTGTTTTTATTTATTAGGTTTTATTCAGTGTGTGTTACCAGCGATGATATACGGCTCGGAAACGTGGCCTCTAAATATAGGCCTTATAAATAAGCTCAAAATTGAGAGGGCTATGCTAGGTGTTTCTTTACAAGATCGAATCAGAAATGAGGAGATCCGTAAACGAACTAAAGTCGCTGACATAGCCCGACGGATTAGCAAGCTGAAGTGGCAATGGGCAGGGCACATAGTACGCAGAACTGGCGGCCGATGATGGGGCGGCAAGGTTCTGGAGTGGAGGCCACGTATCGCAATGCGCAGCGTGGACATCCACCCACAAGGTGGACCGACGACCTCATAAAAGTAGTGGGAAGGCGCTGGATGCAGGCCGCCATCAACCGGCCATTGTGGAAATCATTGGGGGAGGCATATGTTCAGCAGTGGACGTCCTATGGCTGAAATGATGATGATGATGATTCAGTATGTATTCCATTCAAGTTGTATGTGAGTTGAATGAAATAGACATTATCATCGTCAGCAGCAGTCTATAGCAGCCCACCGCTGGACAAAGGCAATACCTGTTTGGGCTCGTTCCCACGGCAATCCTGCAAAACTGGATTCTCGTGTAATGTGTGTTCGAAATTCAAATTACAAATTCAAAACGGACTGTTTTTTTGGAACACTGCAAAGCACTTCGTATGAAATGTGAACGTTATAAAAACTACTAAACAGAATCCTGGAAAAAAATGTTCCTGTAAAAAACGGAATGTCTTCGTGAGAACAAGCTTACCCTGTCTTCAGCTTCAGCATCCATCCACCCAGCTTCTGTCATCTTCTTTTAGCACAATGTTTTTGTCAACACACTCACAACACACGCGTAAATAAGAAAACTTCCGTAGACTGATAAAAATTGATTAACCAGTTGTGCAAAACACCCTATAAAGCCCGAAAACAAATGATACCGCGGGTCAAATCCGGATAACGCCATCTATGATTGAAAATTAGAACTAACATTCCCAAGGCGTGGCGCCTTTACGCAAAGTTCGATGCATTTTTACCTTAATCTATATAACATAATATTTCAAACTTACTAAGATCTAAATGAGGAGATAGTTACCTTTAGTAACGCCCATTTTCTGAACAATAAAATCATGCAAACTTACCTGAAACAAATGAAAAAATAACCTTTAGTAATGCCCATAAAGTTTTTGATTTATAACTAGTTAAGGAAGTAGAGTTTTAGGGGGATATTAAGGTAATAACTTTTTGTAATAAGAGGGATGCCCTTATTACAAAACGTTGAACTCTAGTAGAACCATAGTTTATAACATTTAGTATGGAAATGTATTTTTGTAATAAAATAGATAGAATAGAATATTATACATATAGCGGGGAACGCGGGGGTGGTGCGGGCGGTAACAAGCGCCGACTCAAAAGTTTTAGGAGATTTTTTTAGTTTTTAACTAATAAAGTAATAGTTAAAATTTTATTTTAAATACTTTTCTTGTAATTACTTTCATGTGTGTGTACTATCATCCCTAAAATGGGCGTTGATTTACAAAATCACACCCTGTATAAATGGGTTTAAATTGTTATCAAAACGAGCAAAGATCTCAAATTATGTATTGCCCAACAAGTAACTATACTATAAACATAATTGGCTCGCAGTTTTATGGCATTAAAAGCTAAATGTGAGGAGCTTACCTTTCAACCTTATTTAGGTCAAGGCTTTGAGTAAAACTAGTTTTGAAAGGCAAAGTACATTTCAGGATTTCATATCTTTGCATAAGATTTTGTAATCTTTCTTTAAATCTGAAAGATTTTGCGCACGTTTGGTGAAGTAGTAATTTTTGTATTTCTTGCAATTGACATAATTTTTTGTGTACCTAGTGTATAATTTAATTGACTAAATAGCTAATATGGCTAAATAGGATTGCTTTTATGATAAAATACCATCACAACCCTCCACAATAAATAAATTTATTAGGCAAAATGGGGTAATTAGGTAAGTACCTACTTATTTGTTTTTGGGTGCATGCAATAAATAAATAAATTTGTGCAGTCAACCACCAATTCTATAAACTTTGTAAGGCATATTGGTGGATCACCCTAGGTAGAGAACTTTATAACGTAGCTGTTAACAAATAAAACTTAACTTAGTTACTTAATTAAGTTAGTATCAGATGTACATTTACCAGATCCATAACAAATTGACCCCAAACGACCGGCAATATGCATAAATTAATTAGATTTACATAATTAATGAAGCGATGTTACCGCACTGTCGTATAACGTCGATAATTAACATGAAAACACTTAAAAGCTTTATGATTTGTTGTTAGTTTGACTGTTCACGAGCGGTAGCGATTCTACAATCACTAATTCGTACACAGTTTTTGAGTAAAATGGATTATAAAGATTTATCGAATAGATTATAAAGATTTATTATCGTTTCTCATTGTAAAAATAAAAATAAAACCTACAAAGGAAATAAAATAACTTCATAGTAACATCCTAAAATAAATATTAAACAAGTTTCAAAAATTTTTATTTTTACAAAACATTTTAAATAACTAATTTTCTCTGAATTATTTGGTATAAATAAAAATACATTTTTTGTAGATTTTAAGCCCATTTAGGTAATGTAACTTAATATGTGTCGTGGTTTTTCAAAATAATAAACGTCTTAAACAGATACATAAAAGTGTGTAAAAGGAAATTTTTCATCTAATAAATGACCCAAGCAACTGACGTTATTTCTGCTGTAGCAGATAGATAAAACCAAGTCAAGTTGACTGCACACCTCGCTGGAATGCGACTCTCCCTCGCACTCTCCCGCACACCTCCCCGCGTTCGCCCTGTAGCCTTATTCACGTAACAAAACTTCAACGACAACAAATCGCTGAGTTGCGATCCTATCGAGTAATCGTTCTATCAAAATGATCCTTGTGAATACGGATTTAAAACTGTTTTTCAATGGGACGACATCTGAACTTAAGTCAGTGTGACTGTCAAAATACGTTCATACCAGAGCGTCGAGGTGACGTCACGGCCGCCAGGTACGCAGTTAACTCGACAGTGTTGTGCGTGCGTGTTACTCGGGTCACTTCTGCTTTAAACATGTCACCCATTCACCTATTACTTATACAATTTATTCAAAACAAGTTACCCTAATTGGCAACGTACATAATCGCTTCCCGCTACCGCTTCCGCTTATAAACAGCTGTTTTAAAATGGAAAGTCAAGTCTCCCATCCTCTTTGCGCATGCATAACGGTGAAATTACAAGGATTACATCATTTATGTGTTAATTACTAAAATTAGGAACTTTAAATTACAGTTTAGACAATGGGAAGTCGTGCTCTATGGTTACATATGGTAATTTTTTGTTACGTTCGTATGACGCGTGGATTGTTTTGATTATGGACTTACGTGGTTTTATGAGGTGAAGGTTGGTTGATATTAATGATTATCATTAATAAGATATATCAGGAGAAGACTAAGAATCGATTGGCATCAAACCAATTTTCAGCATATATTGAGAACTCCACCCCTAAGGGGGTATAACGAGGCCCACGTGTACGAAATTCGCAGGCGGCCTATTACTAATATTAAAACTGACAGAGAACATTTAGGGTGGGTTGTACCATCTTACTTTGACAGTAATTATGACGATAACCGGTGCTTTTTGTGTTGAGTTTGACAGATTTTTAACGTTTGTCAAAGTTAAAGTAAGATGGTGCAACCAAGCCTTAAAATTGAAATTCTTGATTAGTACCGTTTTTAGATACACGTCCCATACCTATACCTATTACTGGCCCTAATACCACTTCAAGACTTACGCCCGTATTGGCAAACATTACAATGAGGTGTTACAGTGCGCGTGGACGCACAGGGTGACATGCGAACCAATCACAGACCTCAATTCGACGCTGTGCGTTCGATTTGCTGCTTCACTTAAGCAAGCATCGTTTGTGAATACGGGCGTTAGACAACAATGGGGTTAATTGTTAGCTGGTGCTGAGATGAGAGCATAATCGTATACCTATCCAATGAACGTGTTTTATGATTAAGTGACTAGAAAATATTACTAATTGTTTCTTTTCATCCTTTCCAGGTACCATGACATCCTATCTTAGGCAGATCCAGATCACAGGGCTCCTGCTCCTCATCCTCATCCACATCAGCACCTCGGAGCCCGCGAAGACCAACGCTCGGCCTGTCCATGAGATCATCAACGAACAAGCCCGAAGCGACGACAAAACCCGGCTAGGTACCCCCGGGACTTTACCCTACGGGAACCCCCTAGCTGGGAACTCCCTGAAGAACGCCAGACTACACGCGGCGAACCAACAAGCGATGTTCAACGCTGAAAGAGTGAGACAACACAGAGCACAACTCCAAAGATGGACGAAGGCACCTCCTCAAGTCGATAGCTACATGAGAGCCTATCAGGAATCTCAAGAAAGCCATCAACTGGCTCTAGAACAGCAGCAGGCCAATTTAAGAGACAAAAAAGTCGCGAATCCTGATGCTAAACCAGCAACTAAACCTAGAGTCACTGTTACCAGAACTCAAACTCTAAAACGAGGAGTCAAAGTCATCCCAGAAGCAGTCAAAATGAATAAAGATATTAAAGAGAAAAATAGAAACCATAGGTCTCATGGTTCCGTTGAATACCATCAATATTTGGAGCCTAAAGCGTATAAGTCTGTATATGTGTCCCCAGGACCGACGTACGACCAAGGAGTGACGATTAAACCAAATGGAAACATAGGATTAGCGTCCTTCAAACCATCGCCGGAAGAACCTAAATTGTTTACAGAAGCGATCCCGAGTAAAACTCGATATGTCTACCCGAAACAATACAGTCAAATGCAGCACTACGAGTCAGCGAAAGACATTGAAGCTTTAAACTCGTTATTGAACAAGAATCCACAAGTTCAAGTGTCAGAATTAAACGCTCTGCTAAGTCCAGGAGCAACAGAACCTAAAGATGTCCTAGACACTCCAATCGACTTGTATTTCTACGCGAAAAACCCTTCAGCCGAATTACACTCCAATTATTACGATGACCAATACGCTCAGATACCTCCAACGTATGCTAGCGCTTACATGCCAGAGGTCAAAGATTACACGCCTATTACAGAAGAAGTAGACGACATCGAAAACCCTGATAAAGAGCCTAAAATCAAACCGATTGGAAAACAAACAATCCTAACTCCTCAAGTTCCTGAAGCCGAAACTACAACCACTAAAAGTAATAATTACTACAAAGTCGAAGTTGCAAGTCAAATCATCAGCTCAGGGTACAGGCCTCATGACGTCAAGCCTTTTATTCCTGAAGAAGCAAAAGAGTCTTCACCACACAGTCAACCTCTAGTGTACTATCTCAAAAAAGGTCCGAAAACCGAAGGAGATTCAAGCCAAAGATATTTGCATCACAACTCTGAACACCATGGAGTTCAGCATCTCTCTGAAGACGGCACAGGGACCTCAGCATTCGGTGACGACAATGTAAGTATCAAAGCCAGAGACAAAAGATCTCCCGGCATAGAGAAACTAATTCCTTTGACTGAGAAGCCTGCAATGAAAAATAACACCCCCAAAGCTGAGCCTTTAATAAGACTCAGACCTTTTTATAATAAACAGATAGAAACCTTTTTGACGACCCCGAATTTCCCGATAGGTGTCGCCACTGATTTAAACTACGACTACGATGAGGCTCCTCGTCAAAAAATAAGATCACAGCATAGTAAAGTCGAATTTTACGATGATGATGAATACAAAGAATATGGTGACGACTTTAGTTCACCTGACTACGATTTTGGTACCCCAAATTTGAAGCAAACCTCTTTATATTTCAACAGACCTAGGCACAATTACGCCCCAGCTATGACTTACAATCATAACTTAGATCTATCTTCCAGTTATTCTCATAAGCTACCTCAAATTAAGCGTTACCCGGAATTTTCCAACAATTTCCGAGGTTTGTATGGCCAATCCTTCAGGGGGTATCAACCTCCATCCACAAGCTATGGGGTCCCTCAACTCTACGATCAGTCTCTCGTAGGCTCAACTAGCTACGGGGTTCCAAGATACGGGGTGCCAAATGTCCAAAACTTGAACCACGTTATAGAGCCAGTGTACATGTTAACGGAGTCCCAACTGAAAAACCTTATAGGTCAAAATAATTTGAACATTCAACACTTAGATATATTTCAGACATATCCTTACCAGAAATATTCTAGGCCAAAGCCGAAGAAGCGGTATCCTTACAGGCCAAGGAATACTAAAAATCACCTTCATAAGTTGCATAAATTAAATATTTTGTAAACAATACGGGGTGACATTCCCTAATTTCTGTACAAAAAAGATTTTACTGTGTTTAACTGGGGTAACCTCTTCTTGGATATTTACACCCTGTATTGTCTGACAGGACTTTTTTATTAATGATCTTTTGTAAAGCTCTTGATTTTCAGTAGAACTTACGATCAAAACATGTTAGTATTGTTTTTGCATTTTTTAGATGATTTAAGTACTTATTTATAATTTAAATTATAGTGTACGGTTAAGGGTAAAGTCTATAAGAGAGGCATTTATTTATTTAATGGTAATAAAAATAATTTAAACTTAGTTAAGAATTTATTTAATACATCACTCACACCAAAATTAGAAGTTATGTAATTGAAAAAAAAATGGATTCCGTTACATTTTATACATAATTTATAGTAATACATAACCGAACTAACATTACCTAATTTGTAAAAAATAAAGTAAGCAATAACTTTCTCACTTAATTACGAATAAAAACATACTCGTTAAAATAATGTATTTATTAACTAATCAAAATTTATTAAACCGGCTCATTTTATGACTAGATAGATACAGAGAAGGATTGCAAATTAAAACATAGACAAATGTATGCGTAACTTGCAGTTAGGGTTGCCAATTTGCTCAAAATCTTTAAAAAAAACTTTATTTAGTGACACTCAAATTTATGTCACCGTAAAATTGTGAATTCCGTCAGATTATAATCTGACGTAGTTAAATTACAATCTAACCTAACCTAACCCACTGTTAGTTTACAATCTAACGCGTTATATTATAAACTGACAGAGTTCACAATTTCACGTTGACATTTACACCGTGAGAGCGCAGACAACGTGAACTTAAAAGCTTCTACAATATTTTAAATGTTTGTTACATTAATAATACCAACTTAACATGAAATGTAATATATTTTTAAAATGATTAAATGCTCTCCCTCTAGTCACAGAGGTATCAGTGATATTATAGTAGGTATTAATAACATAATTTCAAGTTTTCAAGTCTCTACAATTTTTTCATCCAAAATTTTGTTGTTTGTTTGTTGCTCTAAATCAGTGTTTTTCAACCTTTTTGGCGACCCCCCGACCGTTCGCACTTTTTTTCATGCATTTTATAATGTTACAAAATGTTTGTAGGGACCGAATACTTCAATCCATACAATATTTGCATAATTATATTTCGGATAAAAAATCTGTCTTGATAAGATTTTTTTTACTGAAGTAGTGTTTACGACCTCTCGCAACCTCTCGCGACCCCCC